TACACTTTGCCGCAGCCGGGGATGTGGCAGCTGTGCCGCCCCTTGCGCCTCAGGCTGGCCCCCGCCGGCCCCAGCCGCTCGGCCTCCTGGCAGTTGGGGCAGTCGCAGGTGGCCCGGCCCGAGTAGCGGCGGGCAGAGCGGGCGGAGCCGCCCCCGGCGGCGGCGGCGGCGGCGCCCGAGATCATGGCGCTGGCCGCCGCCACCGCCGCGCTGGAGTCCGTGTAGGAGGGCAGGACGGGCTTGAAGCCCTCCTGGGTGAGGAGGTGCTGGCTGGTGGAGAGCAGGTGTGAGGCGGCCGTGGAGCCCAGGCCGGTGGAGCTGAAGGCGGAGTGGGTGAGGGAGCTGAAGTCGGGGTTGTAGGTGCCCAGCTGGGAGTGGAGCGAGGCCTGGGGGGCGCCCGAGTGCAGCGAGCCCTGCAGCCCCCCCGCCGGGTTCTGCACCTCCAGCCAGGAGCCCGGGTTGGTGTGCACGTCCCACCAGGAGGAGGCCGCCCCGTTGGCCACCTCGCCTGCCGAGAGGGTGGAGTGGAAGCCGGACTTGTACCAGGACTCGTAGGGGTGCGCCATGCCCACCCGCGGGTAGAGGCTCTCGGCCGCCGAGCTGTGCACTTTGGAGATGAAGGCCGACTGCCCGCCGGGCTCCTGCGGGGACACGCCCGCCGCCGCCGAGTTGGAGAAGAGGCCGCCGTAGTCGCTGCTGAAGGCCGAGGAGGTGGGCGAGGTGGAGGCCAGGCAGAAGGCGCTGTTGGCCGTGCCCGTGCCGCTGGCCAGTCCGCTGGAGCCCCTGCTCGTGGCCACCGTGAAGCCCGAGAGGCTGGAGCCCAGGTTGCAGCTGGAGGTGGAGCGTTTCCAGGGGTGGAAGCCCCCTTTGGCGAAGGCGCTGGACTCGGGCAGGGTGGTCAGGGGGCTGGTGTTGCCGATCTTGTTGCAGGTGGCGGCCAGCATGGCCAGGGGAGTCGTTCCAAATCTCGGCTCTTCCTGCGGGAGAGACAAAGCCGGCCCGTCAGCCTCTCGCCCCTGCCGCCCCGCCGGGCTCCCGCGGGGACGCGAGCGGAACCGCGGCGCGGTGAGCGGCACCGCGGAAAAAGTTTTTTCCCGCTTATTCTGGAGGAAGGCTCCAGCCCTGCCCCGCTCGGCACAACTCGTTCTCCGCCGGGGACCGGTCTCGGCGGCCCGAGGGATTCACAACGGAAACGGATCCCGGCGGGGACGAGCGACACGCGTGTTCCGACCGGGCGGCTCAGGACGCCCCCGCGCAGCGCCGGGCCCCCCGAGCCCGCCGCCGTTAAGGCTAGAAAAAGAAAACCAAAATCCCCTGGGAACGAACCGCGGCGTCTCTTGGAGCCACCGCATCGGAGCGGCGGAAAAACGAGACGGCAGGAAAGCGAGCGGGCTGCGGAGCCTCCCAACCGGCGCCGCTGGCAGAGCTATACGAATAACATCAAAAAGATCTTTGGAAATTTACCATAGCACTTCGAGTTAAGAAAAAATTAAATTTAAAAAAGGAGAGAGAGAAAGAAAAAACAAAGCGCAAGCAGAGCAGCCCGACTTCTCTCCGGCCAGGCGAGTTTTCAGACTAAACTCTTAGCGAACGACCCGATGGGAACCCGCAGCTGACTCCCCCGAGGCGGTCCGGCGGTACCCCCGGCCGGCAGGGCCAGCGCCATGTGCGGGAGGGGCAACCTGGACGCGGAGGCGACAAGCAACAGGTTTTTTTTGGTTGGTTGAGGGGTTTTTTTGTTGGTTTTTTTTTGGTTGTTTTTTTTTTTTTTCCCTCCCGAGGGCAGCGGGAACCGCGCGGTGCCGACTTACCCCGAGGATCGACGTAGCCATAGCACGTCCCTGGGCTGGTCGATGGGGCGGACGGGGTTGGGGGGGGAGGGGAAAAGGGGGGGG